TAACAGAAATATGCAAGTCAAGGAGAAATATTTGGTGAGTGAAGTTTCATTTAACATATGTGCATCAGGTAGTTTCTATTTATGAAAATTTAAATGTTTTGTCACTATCTTTTGGACATAAAATTGCGATTCAAAAAGAAACTTAATTATTAATATGTTTTCTCTTCTATGGAAGTTCAATGTTTTTGATAAATTTTTGCATACATTTTATACATTTGAGGAAACAACTATATGTTTAGCAACATAGCTTTATAAACTACTTAGTTTTTAAAAATTTTTATTTAACATTATCCACAGGGCAACTTTTAAAATAACAACATGGAAAACTTTTCTGCTCTTTCTCAATTAATGAATAATTATAATTTAGAAGACCAATTTCTTCTTTTACATGTCTAATTAGATGTAGTTTTTGTTGCTTAACATTGTCTGTAAAATTGTTTGGATTTACTAACTAAGCACCTTTGCTGTAATACCTTTATGAATTAAATATGGTGCAAAAATATTTTGTTGTCATTAATTCTGTAGATTTATTTTTACAAACACTAACTATATAGGAAAAACTTCAGTTTTAGTTTGCTCTTTGTTTTATATTTGACAAAGTTATTATTATTATGGCTATTAATGTTTTATAAAGCTTTCTTGTCATAACTCCTATCAAACTAATTTTTCACTTCAGATCATCTTGTTGCTAATGGACGTATGACAGAAGATGATGCACGAAAGAAGTTCAAGCAGATAGTTGCAGCTGTGAGTTACTGTCATCAGCGGTTTGTTATACATCGAGATCTAAAAGCAGAAAATCTTCTTCTAGATTCTAACATGAACATCAAAATTGCTGGTTAGAATTTTTGTTATTTATAAGCAGTTTGTCACTTGCTATATTCTATTGTCTGATATAAATGACTGTTCAATACTTTTGACATGAGAATTATTATACCAAGTGAAATGAAAGAAAGTTAAAACTTGCATTAAGATAAAGCTATTTGATAAAAGTGGTATTTTAGTGTAAAAGTATATTTTAAAGCATCTTGTTTAAATCCATTATGAGGCATAACTTCATGTAATTGTTTTTCAATTAAAAAATATGATTATTAAAATCAATTAACCTTAAGTTTTAACTCTAAGTGAAAATATAAAAAAATTGAATGCTATTAGAGTGAATTCTTGTGTTTATGGATCATATATCAGTATAATTTCCTTTTCTGTTTTATCTCTCTCCATCACTGTCATTGTAAGTATATATACATATGTCTTCTTAGTCAGTATATTTTGTATCTATCATTAAAATACATTGTAAATGAATCATAGTAAGTGCACTCAGTTCACAACCTGTGAATTACAGGAAAGAAACTCAGTGCCAAAAATACTCACCCTTTCAACTGTGAGAGCAATCAACCCCACTATTTGTTGGTAAAGAGTAGACCAAGAGTTTGTGATGGGTGCTGCTGGCTGGTTGCCTTCCCTGTTGCCAGCAGTTCAAAATTAGAGCTAGCGGTACTAGTCTTAGTAGCTTCTACATAGAAAAATACATGTAAATGAATGTTTAGAAAATGCATCTTTAATGTTTATAAGCATTTTTGTTATTTAACTAATATAGTCCTTAACAAGAACAAACTACTTAGTGTGAATATTATACTTTATTAATGAAAAAATTCATGTAAAGGCTGTACTCCTGCAAAAATATATTATTAAAATTGGTAGTTTTGTACATATATATAATGTTTGTAATTACATTTGGATTGCAGTTTGAAATTTTTTTCTTGACAGACTTTGGTTTTAGTAATTATTATAAACCAGGGAAACTTCTGTCTACTTGGTGTGGTAGTCCATCATATGCTGCTCCAGAACTGTTTGAAGGCAAGGAGTATGATGGACCAAAGGCTGATGTATGGGTGAGGATTTTGTTTTCTGTGTTTAAGAAATGTACTTTCCATAGTTATTAAATATTTGTAGAATTTGATGATTTTTCATTGGAAATCACTATAGCCATATATATGAATATATATTAGATACATGGTTAACCATCACTCTGCCTTACATGTTGGTAGTTTACAGTATTTTTCTAATCATTATTTAAACAAAAGTTGTTGTTTTTTGTTTATTACGATGGGTGTTATTTAAGAAAACAAATGTTTGTAAGAATATTAAACAATGAACTGTTACAACCATTTTCTTATAAGTACCATAAAATATTCTCAGCACTTATTTTGTACAATATCTTATATACTAATTTTCATGTTTCTCTTAAGAAATTAAATTTAATGTAAATAATAAAACATTTTTTCTTATAGTTTATGTAATCACCATGATTACCCCAAAATTTTCCTTCCCTTATGTGATATGTCATTAACCTCATTGTCCTGTTTTGTTTATATATAAAAATAAAATTTTCTTAGAGCCTTGGAGTAGTACTGTATGTTCTTGTGTGTGGTGCCCTTCCTTTTGATGGCAGTACTTTACAGAGCCTTCGGACCCGTGTGCTGTTAGGGAAATTTCGTATCCCCTTCTTTATGTCATCAGGTAAGCTATGTAATTTTATCATAATAAACCTGAATAATATTACATTAAATATGATTAATTTCATATTATGTTTATCTATTTTTTGTGTCATATCAACTCAAAAATTATTGTTTTCTGTTATATTATTTTTAACATTTCTTAGTAAGTACCTTATCATGACAAAATTATAGTATTTTTGTTTATATCTTGTGATGTTTTTACAATTCTAAAAAATAAAGTTAAATGATTCTTCTTTTCTGCCATTATACAGTATTTTCCAACAAAATATGCATTAAAATCCAATCATTAATGTAATATATTTATTTTACGACATCCATATATATATATTTGTATTTAATACAGCAAAAAATATGTTTTAAACAATCTTATGGATTTACCACTAAATACAAAGGTAAAGTAAGTATCTAATACAGGGAAATGCATGTTTTAAACAGTCTCATGGATCTACCATAAAATACTAAGGTGAACTAAGTATTTAATATAGGAAAATACATGATTTAAACAATATTATAGTGCTACATGGTATTTTTTCTTGTTTTGTTTTGAGTGAAATGTTTCACAACCTCACCTAATTTTTCACTAAATGTGATAAAACTCAACTTGGGAATGATGTGGAATTTTATTAAATTATAAACTTACAAATTTAAGATTAGACCTTAGTTATTTGTTAATTATAATTTCCATGTTAGGGAATTTATTTCAAACAATATTTTGTTCTAATCAGTAATGTAACTAACAAAATACATATAAAATATATTTATGAATAAATATATGTTTCCTTGTTCTTAATTGTTCCGTTTTAGTTCACCAGTGTGTGACCTTGTTGCTTATCTCAAAGTGACAATGCATCACTTATCATTTCCTGTTCACTCCTGGCAATATCCTGTTTGTAGGCTTTTAAGACCAGGAGCATATACCTACTTTTTAAATTTCTTAGTGACTACAGACATGGATGGCAGGAAATTGCTTTAAGCATCAAGTGTATTATGTGTAATAATTGAGTTCATTGCCATTTTTCCATCACACCTTTTGCTGAAGTGAAATGCTGTTTCAGCAATTTAATGACTTGACAAGTTGACAACAACCTCTCCAAAATAAAAACATTTGAGAAATAACATTTAAAGTAATATTTGTATATTTATATGTGATATAAACCTACAATAAAGACACTATAGTGTATAACACTAATTATATATGAACTTAAAGATATGTGGTGTGGTGTTGTCATAACCCTTTTTCAGTGGTTTAATTTTACCAGTTTTTTCATCTACTTGTCACAACATTTGATTAAATTTGCAGAATTTAGAACTTATAGAAACAATATAAGACTGTTGATGTTTAATAACTACTTTGGGCAGCATGGATCTTATCTTATTAGTTAATATAGGGTTTACAGTTTTTTCAATATGCCCATAAGTATATTATTCGATGATCCAAACTTTTCTGTTGAATGCATTTCAGCAGCTGTGTTTACATGTTTTTTTAGCTGTGAAACATTTAATGTTTTGCCTTTGTACTGGGATGGACATATACGAATGTATCAAAATAACATTTGAATGTTGTAATGCAGAGATTGTCATTTACCTGTATCTTTTGCAGTGGCACCAAAGGCATAGAATTATTGGAGGAAAGCACAACAATGAATAAATAATAAGTAGATCTTAAAAGATTATTAATGATAAATAATTGCAAGTTACAAGAAAATAAAAACATTTTGCAATTTTTCATCTCCAGTTTTAATAAATTCAGTAACCAAGGTTTGAAACTTAAGAGCACCTATTCTTTCTCTATCAAAGATTAAAGGAATTTAGTATTTTTGAATTATAGTGCTTCTAAGATATGACTTACATTGTCAGAGTGTGCTAAATATATATTGGAGAAGAAAGATACAATCATACCAGTGTTACAACTATCAGGAACATCTTCTTTACAGAGTTTTTAAACTAAAGCTTATAGTCTTCACAGAATGAGATCTGTTTTGTTTACAAATGCTCTCCATACAACGTAGCATATTTTTGCCATTCCAGTAATTTTATCGGAGGGACACAGGGCCACTTACACTACACTCTCATTGCCACTGTTTTACTGTATAAATCTGAAAAATTCATTAATACTTAAACTGTAATAATTAGTAATTTTTACAAGCATTTGTAGAATCTTTTAATAATGAACACAAAGATATACCAGTTTTGTAATCTGAAATCCCAATACTGATATTAATATAAATATATTTCCTAAGTATTTTATATATAGGTTAAAAATTAATTCACTATATATATATTACTTTAGATATTTATATCTTCAATATGTATGAACCGATAAAGGCCCCAGATTTCTGACTTCAAGTTTGTAGAAGAAATATTTGATACAAGTAAAAAATTGTCTAATAAAGGGAAGGGTATATGTACATATATATCATTTTAGTGTGATTTTTTTGTTTTTGTATGTAAAAGAGACATCAAGTGTACAGAAACATCAGTATCTTTGTGTTATCTAATGCTTTTATCCAAACTTTTAATATATAACTTACATTACAATCAATAATAGTAATAATCTATATGTTCAAGGTATTTGTTTGAAAATATAGAAATTATTTCGTAATTAGTTTTTTTCAAGAGATCTAAGTTGATTGTAAAAATGTATTGATAAGAATGTTAAACAATGCCAGTACATATTCATTAGAAATTTAAAATCCTTATCTCTGGTCTCTTCATAGAAATATCTACTGAGTTATTAAAAGCTTAACTAATATATATATCCAAATATATAATCACAAGACATTCACAATATGAAGACATGTTTTGTATAAAATAAAGTTTTTCAACAAAATGACAACATTGATGTATTTCAGTCATAGGTTTTATACAATAAATCATGAAAATATTCATGTTCCAAGACAATACATCTCTTCCTCACACAGAATACATTGATCCCTTATCTATGTACCTATGGGACTCACATACCACTAATGATGAGCTAAATCCTAAATCCCACCTAAAAGTCGTACTTAATATGAACTGTGCTAACGCATGATGACATCATTATGCGATGATAGCCCTCCACCAACAGGCGGGTGACAAAACTTCCTTTCACAGTAACTCCCCCTAAGATCAAAGTAACCTAATTCTTTTCCTTATTTAGAACAGATGTATTTTTTAAAATTATTGGTCAATTATGTGAGATTTGTGATAATTTACAAAACTTAAATTCCAATATCTTACTTCTTCTCACAAATAGCTTTTCTTGACTGCCCTCTGTATGTTCAAATATTTGTTTGCCACTAGCCTTGATACTCCCACCTATCCTCATATGTATTCACATGAGACATCAGCAGCCCTCCACTAATAGGAGTATGAAACAACTCCTAATGTCACTAGTGCCCTCTCTTCTGTGCAGCCCGAAATCACTTCTTGATTGGCAGTTTTATGGTTCAGACATGTTTGAAGACAGATTTTTTTCACTTACATACTGAAGTTTACAGTTTTTTTCTCAGCTGCTTATTTTATCAACCATATATATTTTTTTTTATTTTAACAGTTTTGAGAATTCTTTTTAGAGATAAAATTCTCTTTTTATCAGTCAACTCCACTCATAGTGCACTTCACGTGGCATCTACCACATCTGCTGTAACTACTATAGCTAATTTGCCTGCCATGCAATGGTGTCTGAGCAAGCTTTACCTGCTCAAGAAGTAACAATTTTAGTTCACAGGGAGCTGGCTACCTTTATGCAATCTTCTGAATCACCTGGCAATTGTCCTCTCTTACCATGTGAGGGATTGCTTGCACATGATGATGAGGATTTGGACAGCCTGTTTCTTCCTCCTGCCTGTGCTTCACAGGCACGTTTCATTTCAGGGGAGGTGCTAAGGCCTCCTCTCCCATTTATAGATGTAATGAATCAGGTATTTTATGTTTTATCTTTATCTCCTGTTTCCTGTGATTCTACTACCTGCCCTTCTCGGTGATGAACCATTGGGTCAGTATTTAGTGTTTCCTACCCTATCCGGATATTGGGGTTCACATGAGTCATTTTGGGGACCAGTAGTGTTTGGGTGTCAGTATGCCTTGTCCCCCATTACTCTGGATGACCATGCTCAGGCATGTCTTCATTATGTATTTTTCTCCTTAGACTCGCGGCATTTGGAGTTGCTTGTCCCTTTATGGGGATCAGATCTGAGTACTTTGTTTTCCTTCTCTTAGCCCCAGTTTTACTGTATTCATCTCTCCCTCCTGTTCCTGTGTCTTGCCCACCTCTTTTTTTCTCTCTTGCTGGTTCTGGCTCCTCATATTCCTGAGGTTTGTTGTTAGTCCTTGGGGTGCCTCCTTCGAGGCAGCTGGTGATCTTGGTGTCTGCCTTGTGGGATTGGGGCCAGGCTTATCAGCTTTGCCCACATATGGGAGTCTTTTGCCATGGACCCTTGGGTTCCGAGGGTGGTCTGAGAGATTCTGGTTCTCCTTTTCCATTATCCTCCTCTTCGTCCTCTCATCCTGTTTTCATCCCTAATCCTCGGGATTCTGTTTCCTGCCAGCATTTTTAGGAGGCTGTTAGCCAAGTGTGCTTTGCAAGGGTGTCATCACTTGAGTAGATCCCTCTTGTATGGGGATTTATTCCTGTCTCTTTGTTGTCCCCAAACAGAGAGGGGACTGTCTTCCTATCATCGATCTGTTGGGTCTACACTGTTCTTGGTTTTCCTTGTTTCACCATGGAGTTATACTAAGCCCTTCATTGGTTTTCATTTGTGGTTGGTGAATGATGAAGGTCGATGTGTTGAATGTGTAACTAAACATTACCATCTCCTCTGCATCCAGACATTATCTTTGTTTTATCCATCGAAGGTATGTGTGTGTTTCAGTTCTGAGATTTTCCAATCGGACTTGCCTTGGATCTCTATATTTTTTATTGAGTGGTCCTGATGTTTGCTCATCTTCCTTCTCGGGGCAATCGTATCCACCACTACATGGATGTCTGGCTGCTTCTCTGCCCTTCATACTCAGTTT